GGAGGGAGTGAGAGAGAGAGGGAGGGGGAAAGAGAGAGAGAGGGAGAGGGAGAGAGGAGGGGGAGGTTTAGGTTAAGGAGGATGGGCCATGTCACTTACAGCAGCCCAAAACTATTGAGTTTGCTGCTGTCATCTAATTATTTTTTGTACTGTGCTAACAAGACATAGAAGCACCCAATTCTTGTGCTTGCCATGCTCTCCCTTCCCTACGATCTCTCCCACATCATTAAGCGAGCCCAATCAGCTACAAAATGTAGGTATGGCACTCTCGTAGTCCAGCGTTCCCCAACCTTTCTGGGTTGGCGGGCCAGTGCAGAGGAGGGGAGAGGGGATGGTTTTGCGTGGAGGAGCAAATGTGTGCACACAGCTTCATTTGTGTGAGCGGCAGGCGCACGTGCGTACTGCAGGCGCAAGTGGAGTGCAAGTGCTAGAACCCGCTACGACCACAAGTGGGGTTGCAAGCGCATGTGCCAGACCACAAGCGCACACTGCCCTCTGCAAGCACACTCCAGTTGCAAAGAGCCCATAGCCCAGTAGTAGGCTGCGGCCCACAGGTTGGGGGCCCTTGTTGTAGTTTACTCCAGAGGTCCCCCCCCCCTCTCCCCGGTCTGCAGCATGCCAGGAATTGGGCCACGCAAACAAGTGAAGCCCCATCCACAGGATACAGGCAACACGTGAAACCATGTCCCCTCTGGTCTGTGGAAAAACATTATCTCCACGGAAACGGAGGCCCAAAAGGTTGGGGGCCATTGGCCTCCTCAACTTCTCCTTCAGATTAATATTGCCGTGTCAGGACTCTGAAAATAGAAGGATTCAAAATGGTTTCCCAGAAGGTGCAAGTTTTGCTTTTGCTGCCTTGGATACAACTGCACATTTGTTCTGAGTCTTTCGGGCTCAGAAAGAATTGACACCAGCACCCCGGTTGGAACCCGGAGCAGATCTTCCAGCAGCATCAGCAGCAGCTGGGATGCTACGGTGTTACCTGACATGGAACATCTGGTATGAACAACAGATCTAACATAATAACAATTCTGGGTTTTATTTCCCTGTGTTTTATTTACTTTATATACCGTATTTTTTCGGATTATAAGACGCACCTGACTATAAGACGCATCTAAATTGAGAAAAGGAAAACAACAACAAAAAAGGCTTTGGCCTCCGCATGCCGCATTTTCAGCCCTTTTTTTTGGGGGGGGGGCTTTTTTCGGCCCTTTTCCACCCATTTTTCTCCCCATTTTGAGGCTTTTTTCAGCCCCCCCCCCCCAAAGCCTCAAAAATGGGCCCA